TGTGGGGAGGCTCAGGCTGGGATACAGGAGTACTTGGAATAAGACCTGTATTCAGCCAGTGCTCAGACTGAGCTACTTGTTAGAGATTGTGGTAAGATACACATCAAATCTATCATCTTAGCCATTTCAAATGTGCAGTTCATGAGTGCAGACTAAGCGATTCTTGGTCATTGTCATTTATGAACCATTTCTCATTTTCTCCACACTGTAGTCTCTGTAGCAGCACCACGCTGCTTTCACAAAGGCAACCCTAACACCTGCTTTAAGGTTTGGTTGGCTCATTCCCGCCTCCTTCCTCTGCTTCCTCGGAATCGCCCTGGCTGCTCTTGCTGACTTTTCCTTTGGAATCAGATTGTCTAGTCCCCAAAAATTCCTGTTGGTATTTTTACCAGGATTAGGTAAAAGTTGGAGAATGGTGTTGGGAGCATTCACAATGCTGAGTCTTCCTGTCATAGAGTGTAGTAAGGCAGGGACCTGCCTAGTGCCCACCTGGGAACGGCTCCTTCTGGGCCACAGGGTGTGCTGGACCAACCAGTGAGGTGCATGGGTGTGTGTGCACGCGGCTGTGCGTGTGCAGGTACGTGCGTGTGCACGGATGCATTCAGGTGAGTACGTGCTCAGGTCCTAGACCTAGCTCAGGCAGCTGTGGGACTGCAGTCGCCGACTTTAGGGCCTCCATAATAATGCGTGTGCTGGTGCACACCCACAGATGAGAGCGCTCAGCATAAATGTGCAGCTGGATGAATTTTCCCAAAACGCATGCCCATGTGAGCATGACTCGTATGAGGAGAACACCATCAGCCTCCGTGCTGCCCCACCACTCTGTGGCTCCTCAAATCCTTAGCTTCCTCAGGTCTGGAGGGGTAGGCTGTGGATATGGTTTGGGATGGGGGAGCACCCAGCAGCACCTTCGCAGGGTGGGGCTGCAGGAGGACACCCCACCCCTACCCCGGGCTGAGTTCAGGGACCAGAATGGCTGTGCTCTGGGAGCACCAGCCAAGGGCTAGATGCTAACAGGGTGTGAGCTCCAGTCCAGTCCCGGCCACACCTCCTGGGGCACCTGGCCCCAGGAGGCCTGCTGCAGCCCCCGGGGAGCTCCCTGCCCAGCACCCTGGCGCAGTCCCTTTCTGGCCTTAGGCAGTGCCAATCTCAGTGGGCCTCTGGGGCAGTTGAACCATTTGCCCTCCTTCCGTATCTCTTCCTCTATTTAGGTGATAATCTCTGGGAGGTGACCAGGCCAGACGTCTGGGGTTGGCCCAGCAGGTTACCTCGGAGGCCGCCAGGGCAGGATTCCATGTTTCTCTCTTGAGTTGGTCACTGCACGGATCCATGAGCTGCGTCCAGCTCCTCATCTATGGCCAGAGGAGCCTCCTCTCCCCAAGTAGGGTGTAGTCCGTGGTGCGGAGCCAAGGTAAACACCAGCTCTGCCAAACACAAGGCAAATACAAGCAGGTACAGCACCGTAAACACCAGAGAGCAGGGGTGAGGCTGCTGGCAGGGGTCAGGGTCTGGAGTTGCTGGGAAGAGGCAGGAGGGGGTGAGCTGAGTTAGCGAAGGCGGCAGGGCCTCAGAGCCTGCAGCCTGGCCTCTCCTTGGGGCCTGGGGATGTTAAGTATTTAGGCATGTGAATGGGTGACCTGGTGAGAGCAGGAGTGTGTGTGTGGGTCTCACAAAGTGGTGTCCTCGGGAAGGTCAGGGTTCTTGGTCCCTGACTCCTGTTCGAGCCCCCAGGCACTATTCTAGGTGGCAGGATGCCTGAGGAGGCCTCTTGCCCTCACCCCTCACAGCTTGGACTCCCTCCCACCAGCCTCTGTGTTGGGTGGAGAGGCAGAAGGGGAGGAAGAGACAGGTGGTGGGCAGCTCGGGGGAGGGGGTGCTGGGGGGAGGCCAGAGAGGCACCTGCCCCAGGGGAGAGAGAGGCACTTGGCCAGACGTCCCTGAAGCTGTCCAGACCCCTGCCCTCACCAGCTATTTGAATTTGGCAAGTTCCTGAACTGCTCTGAACTCGTGTTGCTCCAGTGGTGCCATGGGACGAGCTTCCCTTCCTAGCAGGGTGGTTGTGAGGAGGGGCAGGTTCATGGGTGCATCACTGGGGTGCTAAGTGCTCATGGTTGTTGATGAGCATTGTGACGGCAACACAGAAATCAGGAAACGTGTTTCAGCTGGTAGGTGCAGAGCCCTGCTGTCTTCTAGGTTCCTGGGACTCAATTATGCATCTGAACTGTGGTACTCACATTCTTCGGGACACTTCTCAGCAGCCACTCCCTTCAATTCAGGGCCTCTATTGCTGAGAAGGGACCTGGTTTCTCTGTCATCCCTTCTGATATCCTGGGCCTCTGCAACCCGAGAGGTTAGATTCCATCCTGTACTGCCAGCTGGCCTGTCAGCCAGACCCGAGTCCCTCAGAAACCGGGGCTGTGGCATTGGCAGGTGTGCACGAAGCATGTGTCCTCAGTGGCAGCGTGCAGGGCCACTGGTTCACTGCTTACATAAGTGGGGTCAGGCAGCTAGGCTGGTTTTTGCTGGCAAGGGCAACGGCAGCTGAAACTGAATTGAGAAATATGTCTCTGTGTGCGTGTTTTTCTGATTATTGACATTTGCAAGTTTACTTGAAGAGGAAAAAAAGTATAGAAGCAGCAAAGCTGTTTTGGTTTCTGGCACCCGACCTGAGGTCCAGAAAGGGGAGGGGCCCTGTTTCCCAGAGCTATGCGTGGGCGCCCCCCCCCCCCCCCCGGCAGTGTGGCGCCCCAGGGCCCCAGAGACTGAGATCTCTTGGGCCTGCAGGGCCCACAGGGGTGGGACTGGCTGCCAGGGGCTACTAGGACCTGGATTCGCTTCCTCTCCAGGAAGAGGAGGCAGGGAGGCTGTGGGACTTGCCCTCACTTAGAGCTTTCCAGGGAGAAGAACTGCATTCGTTGGAGGGCCTGGCATGTGGCTGTCACCTGTCTCCAAACCAAAGTTGTCAGCTGTTAGGATAGTAAACCTCTTGATCAATTACATGTTTTGAAGCTGGTATTGTCTGAGGTAAACAGACATGGATGGCCTTCCTGCCTTCAGGGCTGACGCCTCCGACTCTGTGTGGTAAGATGCAGAGGAGGGAACTTGGGCAGTAGGCACCATGGTCTGAACACTCCCTTCCCAGAGAGCCGGGCTCAGGCGACAGCTCCGTGAAGGGCCCCAGGTGCCCGTGAACTGTTGGTGAGACCAGGACTGGATTCGGGTCTCCTGTTTCTTCCATGCTAGGCTGTCCCTGCTCTTAGATGTGTGCTCACGGCAGGCATTAGGCCCGCAGACCAGACACACCCAGTGCACCGGCGTTCAGGGAGGAGGCATAGGGACCTTTGTTTGAAGGAGTGGTCACTTGCCTGATTTCAGTCCCAAGTGAGGTGCCCCAGTCTTCGCAGGAAACTGAGGTGCCGCTGTCCTGCTTCTGACGTTGGCTGTGGGGAGCACAGACGAGGCTCCTGGTCCTGGGTGGCTCCTTCCACTCTCCTGCCTTCAGGGCCCTCATACCGGCACCTGGGGGACAGCTGGTTCATGGTCAGGGTGACTGGAGTATAAGCAGAAGGAAGGCAGTCGTGGCTCCTGTAGGGACCGGGGTTGCAGGCACTGGGCCTCTGCTCTGTGCAGGTCTCATCCATTAGGACCCTTGCTGTCCCCCTCAGGGGGGCTTGCACTTTCTGCGCCTCCCCTGGTCAGACCTCTGACTCAGACCTCCTTCCTGAACCCCGCAGTATGTCGGGGACTTCTATCTCAGAACGGCCTGTGTTATGGGCAGTTTTAAGCTCCCTGCAGAGTTTTGCGGAGGTTGAAGTTTGCAGTATGGACAGGGAGGGAGAGGAGTACATTGTGACGAGCGCCAGCAATTCTCCCCAAAGTGAGGTCAAAACCCTGAAATTCTTCACGGGTGGCAAGCTGGCCCCCAAACGGCTAAGCAGCTGCTCCTGGTGCAGGGCTGACGCGGGTAGGGTGGCCCCTTTCCTGCTGCTCCCATGGCCCAGTGTGGGACATTGGCCACTGAGCTGCCCCTGGAGAACTCAGGAGCACTGCTCGGCCATGGGGTCTCTTCCCTCTGACCCTCCACACCCCCACCCCAGGAGACCCTCTTCGGGAGAGTCCTGGCTGCTCAGGGGAGGTGAGGCTGCTGGGGAGGAGCCTGGATGGGCCAGCAGGGCTGGGGGCCGGGCCTGTAGAGCCCAGACCCCAGGGGAGGGCGGACCCGCTCTGACCTGGAAGGTGCTGGTCTAAGGAGCCGCGCTAACCCTCCCGGGGCCCCTACCTGCCTTGCACTCTGCCCATCTCCTCCTTCCTGCTGACAGACCCAGCTGGCTTCTTTGTTTTAAATACACATGTGTCTTGGTTCTAAGGTTAATACAGCTTATAGAAAATCCAAAAACTGAAGGAGGGGGAAGAGAAAGACTCAGCTCTTGTCCCACCCCCTGGAGAGGAGGGCAGAGCTGCCAGGATGGATCTGGGCACATCACTTCCTCCCTTCAAAGAGGTGCCCTGAGGCCCTGGCACAGCCATGCAGGTGTCGTGGGCAGTGGCTCAGAAACCCGTCAGGAGCAGGGGTGAGTGGGTGGCTGGTACAGAGGGACAGCCCTACCTGCTCTGGCTTTGGCACGATTCTTTTCTTGTGGTTTTTTTTCTCTCTGAGTATTTGACTAGTCTGCATGTGGTGCTTTTAGAAGGTCTAGAAGAAACATAGTTTGCACATTAAAAAAAATTTTTTTTGGAGTAACTTCTGTGCTCGACATGTGGCTTGAACCCATGACCCTGAGATCAAGAGTTGTGTGCTGTACTGACCGAGCCAGCCAGGCGCCCCTAGAAGAAACATATTTTGAAGAAGGGCTGGGACAGGCAAGTTGCCAATGGGTGGTTGATAATTAATCATTCCTGGTTAAAAAAAAAATAGTGACTCAGTTTTAAAGGTTCAGAAAACCATTACTCAAGCTCCTTGGCAGAGGGAGTGGCCATCACAGCAGCTCTGCTTTTGTGGATGAGAAGAAAAGCCTTTTTATTTGCTATTTCTCTGAGCTGCCCCAGTGCTTTGGCCATTGTGAGAGTTGGGAAGGAACGGCCACCACTGTTGCTCAGGCTGGTGCTGCACACTGCGCGAGCTTCCGTCTGACCCTGGGGGAGGTGAAGTGACCAGACAAGTGGACGCAGAAGAGAGGGTTCCCTCTGGCTCCAGGCTCACAGGTTCTTTCTGCAGCACCTCCTGTTGTGACTGGCTCCTCTGGACTGCAGTGTTGGCTGTGCACTCCATGGCAGCCGCAGGACCTCTGTGTCATCTGTGACAAGCCCGCTGGCAGGTTTCAGGGTGGAGGCCCTGTCCCTCTGGGAGGACGTAAAACACATCTTAAGCGAGTACTGAGTTCTTTGATGAGCACTAGCAGGAGCTCACTGTCTCATAGTCATGCTTGGGGATGGGGATGGTGCCCTGTGAAAGTGTCCAAGGATGAGGCACTCATGGTCCTTGACCTCTACGTGGGCCTTCATGCAACTTGCCTGTGTCTGTCGGGTATCGGTGCCTTGTGAATTCTGATTTCCACGCATTAGCCAATGGGAGGATCTTCATGCACCACACCCACCAGCAGACAGTCCTCTTTGGCAGTATTTCCATCTTTGTTCTTACCGTGTTGGTAATTTGTGCTTGAGCTTGACCTCATGTTAAGTTTTATCCTTATAGCTGCTTTATCAAATGGAAAATGGAAAAGTAGAAATATGGATATGGTGATCAGAGGTGTTGGGGGGGTAAACATAAAATCTGGAAAAAAAGAAGTCGAAAGACAGGGGCATGTGGCCACTCTGTCAGTAGAGCATGTGACTTGATCTCAGGGTTGTGAGTTCGAGCCTCACCTTGGGTGTAGATATTACTTCAAAATAAAATCTTAAAAAGAGAGAGAGAGAGAGGAGCATTGAATGGGTCTTCTAAACATAGCCTCATTCAGGCACAGATGGAAATTGTTCTGTGGACTGGACTTGCCTATTGGGTGCCCCTGGGCTTGTGCACGCTAGACTGTGTATTCAGCCATGAAAGAAGAGGACAAGTGTGACAGGCACACACTCAGACTAGCAGTCGTGCTCCAGGAAAGTCTTGGGCAAATGACCAAGAGCCATGCTCTATGATGCAGCAGAGCTCCTGAAGCCACCCAAACCTGCCTCTGCAGAATCACATCAGTGCTCAGCAACTGAACTGCAGCTGCATGAGGATGAGTCACAGACACACCATGAGTGATGAGAGCACGTTGAGCAGACCCTCTGCAAACTTCTTATAGAAAGCCCCCAAATCAGCCAAGACCAAGAAGGAATTCGGGATCTGTGCATCATGAGCCTGTTTTTAAAAGTAAAGGAGAGGAGTGTTGCCCCCGAGATATAACGCCACGAAGGCAGGGAGGCTCTGGATTAGCGGTCGTGCTAAGGTCCAGGGGCATCTCATGCTTCTTAAAGTTTGTGTGTTTGCATACCTTACCGTGTGTATTTTCAGTACATCCCAGGATGTTTAAAACAGTACCTGAAATCCTAGAAATATATTATTGAGGATCCCATGTGGAAGGGGTGCTGTAATTAGGGCTTTTTAGAAAGCCCCCTGGGCAGAGACGCACCCTCCATGGACTTGGGCTTCCAGGGCTGGGATATGTCCCCATTCTGCAGTGGTGTGTGGTCTTCTGTCCTGCAGACAGGATCTTTCTGCTGCCTGACTGCTTGGTCCTTCTCATGGGTATGTGGCTCTGGGGGCCTTCTCAGATATTTGTGGAATGTAGGACAGAGGGAGGAGAAATCAAGGCAAAAGGGTCAGAACTTGCCACATGGGCCCTCTGCACAGTGAGATGCAGCTGCTTTTCTCACCTGGAGTCCACGGCTCTGGAATGAAGAAGTCCCACAATGACCGGTAGCTGCCTGCCCCTCGCCACCAGCCTCAGGGCAGAGATTGCTCCCAGTGGTCAGGTGAGAGGGACACTGGAAGGCGGTTCACTGTGTCCTGGTCTCTGGACTGTGCCCTGCAGTCACTCTGAGGGTGCTGTCTTCCTGGAACTCCCTGGCCCTTGGTCCCTCTGAGGCCACCGTGGGTGTGCTGTGATGTCAGAGCCTGTCCTCCCAAGCAGGAGGCTCTGAAGGTTGGGGACACACATGCTGGCCCTCTAGGCCCTGGAGCGTGGGAGACAGTGAGGTCCAGTTGCTTCTGGGCTTTTCTGAAATCTTTGGCCAGGTTTACTGCTGCTGCTGTCTAATAAGCAGTCGTACATTTGGTTTGAAGGTCCAAGTGTGCTTACTATGAAAACTGGCAGTTTCCTGGCTCCGGTTCCCTTAACTGCTTGGACTAATTTAATTAATTGGTTAGACTAATTTTATCTCAAATTCTATGACTATATTAAACCTATACTAAAAAAATTTTACCTGTTCCTTTACATTTCAGTATTCTTTTTCCTTGAGTAGCACATACATGATTTTTTTCGTGGGTCAGGGAGCACATTTGTTCTTTTTTACCTTCGAGTTTGCTCCCTGGAATAAAAACAGCATCTCCCTATATGGTTGCATAGAGAGGTGTGCAGCCAGCTTACAGGTGATCTTGGGCAGCTCTCCCAAAACCTCTGTGTCTTGGTTACTGTCTGTGAAATGGACCACCCACCCTCGAGACCCAGGCATTCCGAGACTCCTCATGTATCCTGCGTCTTGTGAGCACCCTCACCTTGGGTACCTGGTATTTCTGTCACTAACCTGTCAGATGCTGGCTGGGCCCGTGTCATGTGCCGGGCAGTGGTCTGGATGCTGAAATGTTAACAGAACAAAACAGTGTCAACGCTTGTAGCATCAGAGTCTTGAAGAGAAGGCAGATACAGACTCGGTAACCACATGGCAGTGTGTGGTGGGTGAGGAAGATGGCACCTGCCCAGGCCTAATCCAGCCTGGGGTGAGGGAAGGCTTCAGGGAGGGGGTATGGAGGTGTGACCTGAAATCAGAGGGTGTGTGGGGTGGAGGAGGGGCTCTGTCCCTTCTGAGGGGACTGTGGAGAGATGAGCCTGCAAGTGCTGGGGGTGCCTCACACTCAGAATTCATGCTATGAACAGCGCAGACCCCCAAGGGGTTTCTTTTTTATTTTTTTAAATTAATTTTTATTTACTTATACATTTTTACAAGAGTTTATTTATGTATTAGAGAGAGTGCAAGCACTCTCATATGTGTACACACATATGGGCCAGCAGAGGGACAGAGGAAAAAGCAGATTCCTGCTGAGCAGGGAGCCCAACATGGGATTTAACATGTCAGGACCTGGTAACAATGACCTGAGCTGAAGGCAGACACTCAACCACTGAGCCCCCCAGGTGTCCCAAAGGTTTTCTTTTTTTGTTTTTTAAGATTTTATTTATTCATTAGAGACACTGAGAGAGAGAGAGAGAGAGAGAGAGAGGCAGAGACACAGGCAGAGGGAGAAGCAGGCCCCCCTGCAAGGAGCCTCAATCCCTGGACCCCAGGATCACCCCCTGAGCCAAAGGCAGATGCTCAACCGCTGAGCCACCCAGGCGTGCCCCCCAAAGGTTTTCTAATCAGAGGATCAGGTGGCCAGGGGCGGCTTCCGGAGGCCCCTGGGGAGGCCATTGCTGCCACGATCTGGTCAAGGAGGCAAGGAGGTGGAGGAGGCTGTGGAGGCTGTGGCCAGGCCGGTGGATGGACTTGAGAGATGTGTAGTTCTGACAGCCCTCCCCCCACCCCGGTGTCTTCCCACCAGAGGTGATGAGCGGTGTGGTAACCAGCCTGCCTGGGGCCAGTGTGACCCTGACGTGCCCAGGCAGTGAGCCAGAAGACAATGGCACTGTTCAGTGGCTGCTGCAGAATCTTGTGGATGACTCCTATCTGGGCAGCGGGGCTGCTGTGGGGAGGACTCTGCTTCTGAGGTCTGTGCAGCTCAGCGACTCCGGAAACTATTCGTGTTACCAGGACGGCCGCCTGGCTGGAACTGTGCGTCTGCTGGTGGATGGTGAGTTGTGTGCTCAGAGCGCTGGGAGACGGGTCCCAGATGTCCTAGAAACCCTGTTGTTTCCTTGGCCCGACAAATTCTGGGAAAGATCCACTGGCCTCTGCCAGCGTGGGAGATGGGAGGCTCCCCTGGGTGGGGGCATCTGGCTGACCTGGCCCCTCCCTGTCCTGGCCTGAATGCTTAGGGCTGAGGCCTGGGGTCCCAGCCTGAGGCCTAGATTTGAGTGCTGTCCTTTATGGCTCAGTCCGGGGCCCGGGGCCCTTGCTGGTGAATATGGTCAGTGTGGGATGGAGTGGGTGTGAGTGGGCTGGGGGCTGCGGGGCGGGCTCCCCTCATGCCAGGTCTGCTCCCCCTTTAGCCCCTCCCGAGGACCCCCAGCTCGCCTGCTTCCGAAAGAGTCCCCTGAGCATGGTATTCTGTGAGTGGAGTCCTCGTCACCCTCCCTCCCCAAAGACCAGAGCCACGTTACTGGTGAGGAAGTTGTGAGTATCCGGGCTGGGCTCCTGCACTGAGGGGGACGGGCTGGCCGATGGTTCCCCGACTCTGTCCTGGGAGCACTGGGGGGGTGGGGGGGGGGGGGGGCTGGCCAGTGCTGCGTGTAGGGCCCTGAGAGCCTTGGGGAGCAGGCGTTGTGTTCCTTGTGCAGCAGATGGCAAAGCTGAGGTCGAGCCAGCAAGCAAGTAGCTTGCCCTCAGGTGGCCCTGCTTGCCAGTGGCTCTGCTAGGACTCAGCTCCCAATGTGCCTGATTGCATTCCAAACGCCAGGTTTGGGGTGTTGCTCTGAAGGAGACACATGTCCCTGGGAGGGGCAGGGAGAGCTGCTAGCTCCTCACAAGTCTTTCCTCAGGCTCCTCCCACTAGATAGGCCCTGAGAGGAGGGGGCCGTGGGGACGGTGCAGCCAGCCTAGGGGGAGCTCCGGAGGCTCCACCAGCAGATGGGAGAGGCCAGAGCCAGAGCGCAGGGCCCCTTAGTCTGGGAGTTCCTGCTGGCGTTTGAGCTGTTGGTCATTAGGGTGTCAAAAAATCTGAGCAGTGACTTCAGCAGGGGCTGGGTTTCCACCCATGTGTCTGTGGAGAGCGGACGGGCACTAATATGAAAGTCTTGGTCTCCGTGCACAGCTGTGTAGACTATCCTTCTGCAAACAGCACAGCTGCCCAGAGGAAGGACTGCAAAACCCCACAACCCCACAGCTGAGTTGTGGGTGTGACTGGGGCCTGGAGAGTGCTCCTCCCTAGATAGGACGTTTTGCCCAGGCTGGCAGCTGCCTAGGCCGGCCCAGGAACCTGGTTCAGGTGTTGCTGGAACCTGCACACCTCAAGTGCTGGCTCCCACCTGCCTGGTGAATGCTGGGGCCAGTGGAAGGGAGTCAGGAGCAGCCAAAGCCCGTGGGGGCTCATCAGGCCCCTGGGCGAGGTGTGCGCACACATTTACACCCTGGGCCCAGGTGCCGGGTGGTCAGCGGTGCCCAGGGATGGCCACTTACCAGGACTGCAGGAAAGATACCACCCTCGGGCCCTACATGGTGGTGGTGGGGGGCTGCTTCTCCATGTCAGGTGGAGTGGAAACCTGGATGGTGGTGGGGTGCAGGGGGGCTCTCAGTCCCGCTGGGGGCAGAGCAGCAGGCTTCCCAGAAAGAGTTTATTCTGGGCCTGGGGTCTGAACCTGAATCAGCAGTGATCTGTCCTCCGGCAGCAAGGCGAGTGGCTGCTGGCACCTCGTGTGCCCACACTTGTCCTACGTGGATGACGTCTCAGGCTTCCAGGCCAGGTGGGACCGTGTGTGACTCACCCACTCAGCAGTCTTGATGGGCTCCTGGGCCGGAAATGCTGCCTCCTCCTTGGGAAATGGGGAGTGCAGTGCCTGCAAGCCCAGGTCCCCAGGCTGTCCCTGTCACCAAAGAGCAAGTCTGTTTGCTTGGAGGTTTGAGGCTGGGCTGGGGCCTCTCCTGGCATGTGCTGCCCCCCCCCCCCACCCAATGCCTCCAGGGCCCAGTGAGTCTTTTAGCTCAGGGTTTTGAGCTGCCCTACCAAGTGCTACCCTGGATGTCTCGCTCAGTTTCCACTTGATCCTAACAAAGCCCGGCGAGGTGGGCATCAGCCAGCCTGTCCCTGTCCTGTGTCCACAGTCGGGGCCGCCCAGTAGGAGATTCCCAGGAGCCATGCCCTTATGCTCAGGGGCCCCAGAAGTTCTCTTGCCAGCTGGCCGTCCCTGAGGGAGACAACTCCTTGTATGTCGTGTCCTTGTGCGTCACCAACAGCGCTGGGAGCAGGTCCAGCACTCCACAAACATTTGAGGGCTACGGAATCCGTGAGTGAGCTCCTCTGGAACCCCCCCCCGCCCCCACTGCTCCATGCCCCATCCCCTCTGACCCAGGGCCCTGCAGAGACCTCCTGGGGGGTAGGGGGTGCCTCTTGCAAGGTTTGATGAGCTGCTGCCTTTTGGGCTTTACTGGCCAGAGGCCTGACTGGTGGATGAAGGTGGGGGAGATGGTGTGGATGCCAGAGGTGGGGGGGTGGGGTGGTCCTGGCTGATTTGGGGGAGCTTGCCCAGCCCACACATGCTGCTGCATGAGAGCCTGTTCTCTTGGCCCACAGTTCAGCCTGACCCGCCTGTCAACATCACCGTCACTGCCGTGGACAGGAACCCCCGCTGGCTCAGGGTCTCCTGGCAAGACCCTCCTTCCTGGAATTCCTATTTCTACAGGCTACAGTTTGAACTCCGGTACCGGGCTGAACGGTCAAAGACGTTCACAATGTGGATGGTAAATTCTTCCTTTACTTCTGCAGCTTGGTACTCAGGGGTGGCAGGAAAGGTACTGGAAGGAAACCAGGATTTGGGTGCCACTCTGTGCCTTGTGCCAGAGCAGCCTTAGGGTAGCCTCTGAATTTTTCTAAGCCTTATTGTCTCATTTCTCAAACGGGACTGAGGACGTTGGGCCCCTCATCTTCACAGGCCTGGATGGAGGACAAGTGTGATGCAGGGGCAGGTGGGCCATGCATGTGTTGAGGGTGTGGTCCACCCGCTACCTCCCCCACCCCCCAAACCCCCACCCCCGTCCCCGTGCACCGGGGGGTGGGGCATCCCACTCTGAGCCTCTGGAGCATCTCACTGTAGCCTGGTCACTCAGGCACTCGAGGGAGGATGCGGCCTAAGGGCAGGGCTGGCCCGGGGGGCACCTGTGTCCCTGCAGAGGGGCCTTACCAGAGCCCCCAGGCCTCACCCCGACTCCCCGTGGCCCTTCCAACCTCAGGTCAAGGAGTTCCAGCATCACTGCATCATCCGTGACGCCTGGAGGGGCATGAGGCACGTGGTGCAGCTTCGGGCCCGAGAGGAGTTTGGGCATGGTTCCTGGAGTGCGTGGAGCCAGGAGGCAGTGGGCACCCCCTGGACAGGTACCGCGAGGGGCACGGGGGGCTGTGTGAGCTCTGGTGACATCCCGGTTACCTCCTGCTGTGCAGCAAGTCACCCCGAAATTGGACATCCTTCAGGATTGTGGAAGGCCGGCCCCCAGGCGCTCCTGTGCCGGCTCAGTCTCGGTGGGCAGTGTATCCCTGTGGCCTCCTGTGGCCTCCCCAGCCTCCCCTTCCTGCTGCTCATGCAGGCACAGGCGGCAAGCTCACCCTGCAGCTGGATGGAGGCCACAAAGAACCTGTAGCTGTATTTAGTGTGCCGCAGTGACTGACATTGCTTATTTTTAGAAAGACGTTAAAGGCAATAAGGATTGCCTTTGGGGAATTATTGAAATCACCATGCTTGTTATCCCACAAATGTATGAAAAATAACTATTGTCAGTGTCTTCACCACCTGGAGAACAGCAGGGAGAACATCTTAGCATGCGGCTTTCCTCTTTCTGAGTATGGTTGTGTGTATGGAGAACACAGTGAGCCTTCGCCTATCATTAGTTTTGGAAAAATGTACTGTTTAGCAACAGCATGATTAACGTATATGTGTGTGTGTGTGTGTGTGTGTTTGTGTGTGTGTGTGTTTAACTGCTGAAATTTTTATCAAGTTAGTACAATCTTATGGCCCAGAAGCAGAGAAGGGTTTATAATAACAGCATCGCTCATCCTGGCCCTTCCCATTTCCAGGCCTGCTTTCCAGAGGAAGCTATTTCTAATTCTTCTCATGCTGTCTCCTGACCAGCAAGCTAACATGGCTGTTTTACATTTTTCCTGAGAAAAGTTTGAGGCATCTCTTGATCCCTTCCTATGAAAGCTTAGGATTTAGCAGACCCGGACCAGGTAAAGGAACTTCTGGATTACAGTGCAGAGGGTGGTCATCCAGTCTCTGGTTGAATGCTTCCGTAGACAGAGAGCTTACTACTCACTCTAGCAGCCAGCCCATCCCCTGGTTCCCAATGTTGGCATCATAGAATGGCTTCCAGGCTGGCTTCAGTGTCACATCTCTGTAGCCCAGCGACAGGATTGAACCACAGAGTTGTTATTATCAGGCAATTTAAAAAAGAGAGTAAAGTACCCGTGTATTGAGTACATGTGGATAAAAAGGAAAAGAAAACCAACCGCCCAGGTCCATCCCGGCCTGCCCCTTCTCCCACTCTGCCCCCCAGGGGAGGCCCAGGTTAGGGAGACTTGCCATTGGTTGCCCATGAGGTCCAGTGCAGGCTCATGTCTCTCCTGGTCCTTTACTTGCTGCTGTCCATTGAGAGCAGGATGCAGGTTTCTACTGGACCCTCTTCTCAAAAGCTTACTTCTTGCGAAGGCCCGGACAGGAAGGAAGGCCAAGGACCCCTGTCTTACTTGGGGAGACCATTTCAGTAAATCGTGATACCCCTCAGGCCAGATTGTGTTGACCTGTCCATGATTTTCTTAGATTTGTATACACTTTGAGCCAAAACATGCTCATTGTGTGACTGTGGCCTTGGCAGCCTGTGCGAGGGGAGACAGTTATTTACAATGTTGTGCAGAGAAAATGTTCCAGATACAGGCTGACCTGTTTACCTTGTATCCCAACCACTGCATTTAGATGGTCACAAAAAGCTTTAAGAAACCCTGTTTTGTTAGTCCTTTCTTTTTAAAAATGCCTAATTGTGGTAAAATACCATGGTAATCATCCTTAAGTGTATGTTCAGTGGCATTAAGTGTATTAGCACTTTAGTGCAGCTGTCCAGCACCCACTCCTGGGACTCTTCATCTTGAACCTTTGTCCCCATTAAACACGAGCGCCCCCAGCCCTGGGGACCGCCACCTACTCTGTGGGTTTCCTCCTTGTGGAAGTGCTATCAAATAGGATCTGTCTTTTTTAGGGACTGGTGTGTTTCTCTAGCATGATGCCCTCGAGCTCATGTCAAAGCTTCTGTCCTCTTGAAGGCTGACCACTGTTTGTTATGTGACTGGGCCACATTTTGCTTATCCATTTACCTGTGGACAGACACTTGGGTTGTGTCCACCTCTTAGTGGCCGTGGAGGATGCTGCAGTGAATGTTGCTGTGTGCATATCTGTTTGGGTCCCAGCTTTCAGTTCTTTTGTGTAAACACCCAGAAGTGGAACTGCTACATTGTACAGTAGTTCTGTTTTTAATTTTTGGAGGAACCACCGCACTGTTTTCCACGGTGGCTGTGCCATTTTACATTCTTGTCAGCAATGCCCAGGGTTCCAGTTTCTTTGCATACTCAACACTTGTGATTTTGTTTTTTGTTTATTTTTGGTAATAGCCATCCTACTGGGTGTGAAGTGGTATTGTGGCAGTTGACTCACATTTCCATAACAAATAGAGATGTGGAGCATTTTTTTATGTGCTTCTGTGCATTTGTGTATCTTCCTTGCAGAAATGTCTGTTCAAGAAGAAATTTCTTTGTCCTGTGAACCCAACCCTGTCCTCTGGGGTAACCGGAGACAAGTCTGCTTGGTCTACTCTTTGGAAGTCCTCTGGGATGGCCAAAGTACCTGCGTCTGCTTGGGTTTCTCTTCCCAGGCTGTTGTCCAGGATGGCCTCTGGGCTCCTTCCCTGTCTGGCTACCGTCCTCTGAACTTGGTCTCATTTGTGGAAGGCGGTGGAGCTGCAGCCACCTGGCCTGCACAGGGCACAGTCTCTGATTCTTGAGCTTCTGTGCCTTGCTGGAGTGACAGTGAACACTTGGACAGGGCACTTAGCTGCTTCTCCTATAAGCAGCTGATGTGTTTGAGACCCTATCCTGTCCACGTGTGGTTTTGGTGGGTCTTCAAAGCCAGTGGTAAATATGCCCAAGAGAGAAACCAGCTGTTCCTCCACTGCTGAGGGCGGAGCCAGAGGCACTTTGGTGGCTGAAGGGAAGGGGTTCAGTTTGGGGATTGGGGAGCACTTCTGGAGAGTGAGGTTCAGTGTGTTTTACAGACAGTAGCAGTTTCTTGATGTTTGGGGCATCAGTGGGCTTCCCAGCCCCCAGGACCTGAAGATGCAGGCTGCCACTGCCTCCCTGCCTCAGTGTGGGGGTGGTGATCCCTGGGGGACACGGAGGTTGTGGGGAGCACACTGGCCCTAGGAGTCCAGTTGTATACCCTCTCAGAGCCTTAGCCCTGTCATGTGTGAAGTGGGGATGCTCCCAGTCTCGCTCCCTTTGGAGAGTTTATTTTTAAAACCAGATCTGGCCATTTTTATTGAAGAAGTACTTTACCTGATTGACTTTTTACATCTGTACTGGTGCACCTCTGTCAGACTCCCCTGGATGGGGGCCAGCCAGTGTGTGCACTCTGCAGTATCTTCCACACGTGTTGCCCCTGGCATCCTGGGCGCAGCATGGGCTGACGTGCGGAGGGCTCTTCTCCAGGGACCCTGGGCTGGGCATGTGCTGTCGCCTTTCCTTGACACACTGGAGGCTAGAGGTGATTAACTCCAGTGACTTTTGTGTCCCCCACCAAGGGCAGCTGCCACGATGGACAGGACTGAGACCTTGCAAAGTTTTTATAAGCGCAAAGAGAAAACATCCTCCAGAAAGTGACGCATACACAGTTGGGGGAATTGGCAGTTGCGATGTAGTGTTGGTTCCTGGGCTGACAGGAGGGGGGCTGTGGGTACCCCAGGATCCCTACCCTGGGTACTGGCCTACAGCTGCTATTGGAAAGGGCATGTGTGCGTGTGGTGTTTCCCTGAGTGTGGTGTTGGCAGGTTGTGGGGCACATGGAGACAGTAGGAAAAGCTTCATGGAGGAGGTTTTTGTGTCGTGTGGTAGAGGGTGTGTGGGAGTGTCCCCGGAGAGATGGGGATTATAGGGTGGCTGTATGGGAAGGGGAAGGTGGGAAGGGGGCTTTGGGTGAGGCTGGAGAACAGGTGTGAGAGTGGCAGGGCAGGTGCAGGCAGTCCTTGGAAAGTCCACCTGAGGGTCGGGTAGAGGGTGGCAGGTAGAGGGAACATGGGGGCTGTGCCCCGAGCGATACTGCTTGAGTTGGGGGGCACTCCAGCCAGTAGGGCCCAGTCACCCCTGATGGCACCTGCAGCCATGACGCATGGAGCTGTGCCCCTACGCCTGGCCGGAAGGAGGGGTCCCTAGGCAGGCGGCCAGTCAGCCTTGCTCACCATGGGACGGTGTTCTCCACGCTTCTCCCGCAGCTCTGACACAGTGATGCTGAGTGAGCCTCGGGCCCCCAGGGCCCCTCTGCGAAGAGAGCGTGGGCGCAGGGTACCTGGGAAGCCCATGAGGACAGTGGGTTATGTCTCTCTGCTTGCAAACCCCATGACCCCCTCAAGGGCGGCTCCCCAGTGCTCAGGAAACACGTAGCACCAAGGGGCCTCAGGGTGCCCTGAGCTCAGACCCTCTGCCCCCCCCCCCCCCCCCCGCTTCTGTCTCTGGGGGAAGAGCCCCTGGGCACGCATTTCTGGAGAGACTGTGCCCCCTGCGCTCAGCTAACCTAACGGGCTCTCTCCTCACACCCAGGCCCTCGCTCGCCACCCTCCCTTGGGCCTGAACCCGGCCTGGCCCCACATGTGCACGCACTTCCAGCCTGGCCTGCCTCGTGTACGCGTATACACACACACACACACACACACACACACACACACAAACACACTCGGCCTGGGGGCCACAGTCGCCTGTGTGCCAGGCTGCCCAGCTCGCATGTCCTGGACCCTGGGATTCCGCCATCTTGGGCACCATATAAGATTGCCAACTTTAAAAAAAAAAAGATTGCCAACTTAAAATTTTGCTAAGTAAGGACATAAACAGTTAGGTAAAAAGTAGCTATTCCCTTTACGGTTATGGTCATTCCCTATGCGAGCGGAAGGAGGCCTGGGCAGCCCCGCACCGTGTGGGTGTCCTGCTGCTTCTGGGCGTTTTCCCCTCGGCCCCCAACCAGTGGACTTCTGTGCAGACCACCCCAGGGTGCTTGGGGCAGGACGGAGGTGACTGACTCCCCAGGAGACTGGCAGCTCCTCCCTGCGGGTTTGGTGTTTTGCAGGAAG